TAGAAAATGATTGGTTTCCATTCTTTCCTCTGAGACCTAATCTGGTGCCAACACTCGGGCCTGGCTCCCCCTCTCTCACCGCGTGGTCTCCACCTCTGCTTAGACGCTCTTCCCCATTGGAGGTTGCAGGGCGATGAGGTTGCTAAGAGGACAGCCTGGTATCCTAGGGAGAGCCAGGGAGAGACCCCACGCTTCCAAGCAGGGTAAGTGAGGCTGGAGCACGGCTGGACTTCATCAGGCTTTCTCGTGGTGGTTGGGTGGTTTTTGGAAAGCAAGAGAATGGCTAGTGTGTTTTTTGTTAAAAGATGGTTCTTGGTGCACAGGTTTTTAATTCTCTTTATTGGCTCTAAAGATGGTGGCAGGAGCTGCCTCGGAGGCCGGGGTGGAGGGGGGAGAAGGAGCACAGTGATGACTGAGGGAAAGGGCAGCCCTGCCAGTGGTGGATGAGGGACGACACCCGTCTTGGTGGCGTGAAAGGTGCAGGGGCGCCGGCGGCTCATGCAGTTTCTACTTAGCATCCCTGGATCCAAAGAGAACAGCGCCTAGAGCTTCCCACCTCTCAGAGGGCCCAGCCTACCCAGGTGACATCAAAACAGGGAGGCTTAAAAGGAGTTTTTAAAAGCCATGACGTCCTTTGCTGAAATAAACACTGACATCCTCAACATAGATGCCATGGTTAAGAGGCTTGGAATGTCCGGGAAGGCTTATTGGATTCAACATAATTTCTCTGAAACCTATAAAAAACAAAAACAAAAAAACAGAAAAACAGAAAAAAGCAAAATAAAGTAAAAACCAAAATCCCCCCCGCCCCAAAGAAGATCGAAACTAGGAGGGGAAACAGAGAGGGAGCTTGAAGGGGGTGGGGGGGGCGGGGAGGGTGGGGGAAGAATGGGAGATATGGACACAGATATATATTGGAAACTGCCAAATGAACTGTCAGCAAAAGGGAAGGACAGGAGGAGGGGATTAACTTAAAACCAAGCATGGTCAGAGAAACTGGAAACACTCCATTTTGCTGCGGCCTCCACTGAACCGAGGAAGGGAAGTGAGCCAACTATCTGGGGGCTTGGCCTTGGATTGTCATGGAAGAGCAGGAGGGGCCTCATCCGGTTGGGAGGAGCCCCTGAGGATGAGCCGACAGGTAGATGGGGAGGGGGCATCACCGCTAGGGTCACTGGCGGGGTGGGAGGGATGCATTCTCAGAACTTGCATTGTTAAGGGATAATAGAGGGCTACTTCTTAATCCTAGGAGCCAGAATCCTATAGACTACCTTGACCACACCAGGGGGGTAGGAGCGCTATTCTTCCAAGTCTGCCCCCTCTTTCTCATTGACTTTTGGTTTCCTTTCACCAGCTCAGTGGAAAGTTTAGGAAATAATGGCTGCTTTTTTTTGGCCATATCATAATGCCAAGTCTTAATAGGGGATGGAAGTGTTCTGGAGCAATGACCCTGGTAGCCAAGTGCATGAGAACTCAGCTCCAGTCTGGCCACACTGCCATGGAGTGAATTAGGATGTCCACAGTGTCCAGAGTTGTGGGTGTTCCTGATCAACTCTCCAGACGGAGGTTTAATAATAAAATAATGTCTGTCCATGTGTTTCCGTGTGTGTGCGTAAAGACAAGCTTGTCTTTTCATGAAAGCTATGTGCAGGCATGTGAAGGACACAATGGGCAGCTGGGTGTTGGGGATACAATGGGAAAAGACCGAGTTGGTTGCATTGAGACTCTCCCCTTCTCCTTCCCAGATCAAAACACAGTTGAGTAATGTGGGCATTGGGAGCCCTCCATCTGCAGGGAGCGGGGCCAGGGTTATGAGGAGAGAGGGAAACTTCCTTGTCAATGACATCACATTTAGAGAGAGACTCAGCTTCAGGATGAGAAGCGGTGTTAACCCGGGACGAGGGCTCTCTGGGATCTGAGGTGGAAGGGAGGGCAGGCCACTGGTCTGGGTGGCCTGCCTAGAAGGTGTGTGACACCACTGTTCCCATCCAGGCCACGGTCCCTCTCTTGCTTCTCCCATACCCCTCACCTTGGCCCTATGACATATTCTCCCTGGAAGACTCCTCCGACCTAAGGGATTCTAGTACCAATCACACACTGGGTACCTAGTCATCCCCCAGTCCTCTGGGACATAGGGAGATTCCATGAGGTCTTAAAAATCTTAAGAATCAAAATTGGTTGGGGGAGGGGTCTGTACTGCATACAAAGACGTCAAAGGAGGTAACTCACCATGTGACCTTGGGTAAGACACTTCCCCACTCTGGACCTCAGGTTCCTCATATATATAGTGAGTTGATGAGACTAGATGATCTCTATTGTCCTTCAAGTTTAATATCCCATGATTGTCTATGTTTGAAAAGACCCCTGGCAGAAGAGGCAGACATGGGGGGAATTAATGGTCAGTATTGAGCCCCAAGTGCAAAAACATGGGAAAGTAGTTTCACGGGCACAGTGCCAGAAACAGAAGCCCAGGTGTTTCCTGCTCTTGTAGTCCACACTGCTTTACCTGTAGGGGCACCTGCTTTATTTTATGCATAAAATCTAGATACATTGTCCTCTGAGTATCAGACAGTGGCCTTAAAGAACCGTAACCAGGGAGTCAGGGAAGATCTGCCATCACCATGAACTCTGTCCAACCCTTTCCCTGACATGTTAGACCCCCATCCCCCTTCCTGGGCCCAAGCACCCTGAACTCGTGCCCATCACTGCTACTCTGGATGCCATTCTCAGGGCCAGAAGGATGATTCTTATCACCGGGGTGATGACCCTGCAGGTCCCAAGACCCTCCTTCTGGCTCCTTCTCTCTCTCAGAAAAAATCCAGCTCATCTCCAAGAGGAAAACAGCTTGATAAGGGGCAATGAGGAGACAGGGCCGGGGGGGCGGGTGTGAGTTTTGTCCCTTAAAATCTTTCTTGCCTTAATGAGGGCATAAACAGTTGGAACAACAAACGCTGTTGGTTCACTAGACCCGGCGACTACAACTCCTTTGAAAGGCATCATGTTATAGCTTGAGAGTGAAATCTCCTTTGGAGGCCTTGCAGCATCATGGGCCCTGGAAGGCTCCGTGTCGGATCCATTAAAGGCAGGGGCCAAGCCTGCCTAAGCCTCTGCCAAGGTCCCTGAAGCTGCCTCCGTGAACATGAGCCTTTTCCCATATTAGCCGGGATCTGAAGTTTGTTTTCTCTGGAACTCTTTCCCAGGTGGAGCCCTTCCAAGATTCTAAGTGCTGAATCCTGATAACATAGGAGGCACTGCTCCAAGATCCTCCATTCCTCCCCCTCGTGCTCAGAACAACCCTGGAGCAGGAAGGAAAAGGCATCTGCTTGGGGGAGGGCAGGGGGGGCCAGGACCACCATGGACGCTGACCGGGAAAGGCACAGATGGGTGGAGGGAAGGCTGAGGAGGGGCAAACCCACCTCCAAAGAAGGCCTCGCCCACCCCACCATGCCCTGCGGACCTCCGTGTCGAACCTTTTCTTCCATCTGGTGACAGCTCTTCCCAAAGCCAGGCAGCACAGAGCTCACTGTAGGCCCTCCGTGACTCAGAACATGAGCGTGGTCTTTGGGGACTGTCTAGGTATAGTTTCCTGAGCAGCGAGCCAGAGCCTCTGAGATTGTTTTGGGAAGGGAGGGGAGCTGGGAAGGCAGGCTGGGGGAGAAGGGGCACTGAGCACCCACAGTACTGGAAGAAAGCACTGGAACCAATCCCACTGGGCCGAAAGCAGGGTAAATCTTCAACACCAAGGCCTTCAAGATTCACTGCAGCAGAGAAGGGCCAGCTCCGATGGCTGCACAACACAAAAGGGGGCTAGGCCTTCAAACCTCTCCGTTTTTCTAACAGCCTTGCAGACCCCAAGCATCCACCCCTCTCTGGGGTCTCACCCCAGCCCCACAGCCAACGCCCTGGCCTTGGGAGCCCAGCACCCCCGCATCCACCAGTGAGAACTTCCCTGCCTCTTCTGCCTACACACTCCTCATGCGGCGGCTTTGGGTTCTCAAGGCCTCCCTTTCCGTCCCTGCTTCTTCCTTTTGTTATCTGACATGATAATTTTATTACCTAATTCCATAAAGTGGTTAGGTTATGGCCTTGATAAAAGGCCCAATACCAAATGGAGCTCTACTGGATTATTTTCCAACATTTCCTCTTCAAATGTATTCGTTTGTCATCTTCAAGTTGCTACATCACACTGGCGCTTAGCACTTACATGGTGTTGGCTGGGAGAAAATCACTTTAGACTCAAGAGTGGGTTGAAATACACAGGAGCCCTGGCACTGAGGTCAGGGGAGCCTTCGCAGGGACCCGGAGACACAGGGCTATTTAGATCCTTGTCCAGAAAGGGAGAGCAGGAGGGGGCAACCGGACAGACGTGAGGGTGAAGAGCCCACTCTGCACCCCACCCCAGCCAAGGGGCACTCTATCCACAGCCTCCCCGTCTTTCCCCAAGGGGTAAGAAGAGGTGAGATGGACTGAAGAAGGCAGCCCCCAACCAACGTCCCGCTGTAACAATCCTACCATCAGATGCATCGCTGGGCCCCCTGGAACCCGAAGATCTCTGTAAGGTAGTGACAGCGCCAGGCCCTGCCAACAGCTAATCCAGTGTCCCCCAATATCTTTAAAAGGCTGCCATTACGGACTCCATTTTAACTGTGGGAAAACGAAGGCTCGATAATACATTTTTAAAAACCAACCAACCAACCAAGTTCACTTGGTGGCAGTCTGATGTTGAACCAAGCTCTTCATAACCCCAAAGTCTTTATCATGAACTACTTTGCAATATGGCTTCTATTTGTTGAAAAATCCATATCCAGGGAAAAGAGGCTGACATAGAAGTCAAGGCAGCAGTGGTGGGGACAGGGCTGTATGTATGGCTCCCTCTGCAAGGCCTGGATGGAGGGCTAGAGTGTTCTTTCCTCACCAACAGCTTCCCTAGCCAGGGAGATGAGCATCCCCGGCCTGTCCCTGCCCGCCGCCAGCAGACACCTGGTTTAACCTTTCCTGCTTCATTTTCGGCCCTGCCACACCCACCACTCTTACAGTAACACATTGCATGCATTCGTACTTTCCAAGTAAAGAAACCCAAACTCTATCTACCCATTGACTCCTTCATTTTGATGGAACTTTTAGGAGTTCAGCTTAGGAAGGATGAAAAGTAAACCCAATGAAAGAGAGATGCTAATGAGTTTGGAGAGAAGAACAATTATCCAGAACATAGTCACACCCAGAGCAAGAGTGTGGAATATCTGAGAATACCCCTGGGATGCCAAGCATGGCGCCAGGAAGAACTCTCTCCCCAGCACCCTCCACTATGTGGAGCACTAGGCCACTATGTGAACAAGAAGGGTCAGGAAAGGGCGCCTGAGTGGCTCAGTTGGTTAAGTGACTGCCTTCAGCTCAGGTCACGATCCTGGAGTCCCTAGATCGACTCCCGCATCGGGCTCCCTGCTCAGCAGGGAGTCTGCTTCTCCCTCTGACCCTCCCCCCTCTCATGCTCTCTCTGTCTCTATCTCATTCTCTCTCTCAAATAAATAAATAAAATCATTAAAAAAAAAAAAAAAGAAGAAGGGTCACGAAAGAGTATATTATGGTAAAGAAAAGCTCCCTCATGACAGGTATCTCTTGCTTCATTTCCCGCTTGGGTGGTGGCCTCTCCAAGGTTATGGAAAGAAGGCCACCAAAGAGTCCTAGCAGTCCCTGGGATAGGACTAGGGTTACTTTGTTCTGTACCTTTGCCTCCTGATGTGGCTACTGCACTGTTTTCTATCTAGGTTCCTTCTCTCCTGCCATTAGATTCAGTAGAAGGCAGGTGGCAATGACCCGGGTGGGTGACATTAAAATGCCTAGCCTTGCTGGCCACGACTTAGCTTGCTTAAAACTCTCTTAAAAATTGCTTAAAATTCTCATAGCTCTTCTTCTTTTATTCTGAGGTTGCAAACCTAACCTATAGGCCATATGTGGCTCTAGGATGTGTCTTTTTTCAGCACAATTTCTTTTTAAAATTTTTTACTTAGTTGCCAACATTTAGAACTTGGGAGATTTCACATTTAAAATTTCTGTATTTGTAGCTTCCCTTGAAAATCCAAGAGTTCTGGCAATGTTGGGCCAGCTATTTCTGCACAGTGCAAATCAGCCAGAGCAACACAGTGCTCACTCAATTTAGACAGGGCATGTGTTCTCCACTTTGCCATATACTCTACCACTCCCTATTAGCCTCCATCCGACCCCTCCACTTACTTCCAATACCTGCATGGTTTGCCTTAGCATTTGAGCTTAAAACTTGACAATAAATATAAAGCCAGCATTAGGTTATGGGCTGTGCATTAAAGACCAGGGAATGCCATCTCAGCAAGCCTTGCTGACTGTCCCTGTCATGACCAAACTTATGCTCCCTCTGGTCATGGTTAATAGTTATAAAGAAGGAGCTGAAAACCTACGTCCAAGGGACAAACTTAGAGAGTAGAGATCCTTCAGGAACTGAATCGCATGGGTAAGAGGGCACTGTGTTTCAAAACAAAAGTCCCAATGAGAAGACATGCTGAAGACCATTTACAACGCTGCTGTTGGGGGACAAAGTGACACTAGATCATCAGTCAGCTGTGTGTTCCACAGTGCTTATGTGTATAAGGCACCTGACCAAAGGTTGTCAAGTATCACCTAGCAGGTCTCTTCATACAGTCGTTATATTCCATGGGACATGATTTGACCTAACTATCCCCACATCCTTATATTGACAAACCTGCTACAAAGGGTTCCAAAGGACACAAAAATGTTCTTGGAACTGAAATGTCCCTCCTGTACGCTTCCTGGCTAAGAGGGTGGAACTGGATCCCCAACTTCAGAATGCAGTACCTCTTCTTGTAAAGTTGACTTAATACAACTTGGAAAATAAATGATGGGACTGCCCTGGTCCATGTGCCCAAGTCTGGTTCCAGCTGTGTGCAGATGCTGAGGGAGGGGGCTGAGGCTGAATGTACCCCAAATGTGATTTGGCTCATGGAGTCATGCCCACAGGAAGTCACAGTGGGAGGGCATCCACACCCGGGTGACACAAAAGGGCACAGAACACTGAGATCCTCAGACAACAGCCAGAGGCTGGTCCCTGAAGGAATCTTGAAGGCTCTTATGACTCTTCCCTGATGGACATGTCAAGGCTTGCATTTAGATGTAGGAGGATGTGCCCGGGGGCTCCACCCTTGGCATCACAAAGATTGTCCCAATAATAAGTGAATCTTGGTTGAAAGGAGTAAAATGTTAGTCCCAGAGAAAGGGAAATTCCTTACACTCCAGGATGTGGATGAAGTGACCTCTTAAAATCAAAATACTCCATAAGGCATGGAGTAAAATTAGTCGCATGTTCACCATTCTCAAAATTAACTACATAAAGGACGATCTATGA